ATTCGTTGAAGGAGCACACCACCAAGTCTCAGGCGTCGGTCAAGTCGCTCCTTTCCAACCAAGTTGAATCGAAGGCTGTGGAAGTGGCCACGACATGGATCCAATGTTCCATGTACATCAACAACGCCCCCACCGATCTCGTCTACAAGTTCGCGACGTTGCCGGAAGTCGAATCCATTTACGAGCCAGTTACAATGACACTCGATGAAACCCAAAGCAATGACAAACCAGCCAGTGCTGTGAATGATGACATCGCATGGGGGATCAAGAAGATCCAAGCGCCGGCGCTGTGGGCCAAAGGCATCGAGGGCGACGGAATTGTCGTGGCCAACATCGACACTGGTGTTCGCTATACCCATGAGTCCTTGGAGTCGAACTGGCGAAGAGAATACGGTTGGTTCGACCCGTACAACAAGACGAACCAGCAGCCCAGAGACACGGATGGCCACGGTACTGCCGTCATGGGCGTTATGGTGGGAACGAAAGGTATTGGTGTCGCCCCCAAAGCCAAGTGGATTGCGTGCAAAGGGTGCAACTACGATTGCAATGAACTCAAGGTGGTGGAATGCGCTCAATTCCTGCTTTGTCCCCACAACAACGACGGCAACAAATGTGACCCCAGCAAAGCCCCTCATGTGATCAACGGCAGCTTTGGAAAATACGCCCGGGACTTGAGGTGGGAAGATATGATTATAAAGTGGAGAGAAGCGGGAATCATTCCCGTGTTTGCAAACGGCAACAATGGCGTTAAAGGCTGTGCGAGCTCAGAGCATCCTGGCATGTCCCCTCAAGTGATTGGTGTCGGCTTCACTGACTCCAACGATGCTTTGTCCATCGATTCAAGTTTGGGACCTTCCTTCTTAGAAGTCCTCAAACCCGACATTTCGGCTCCTGGTTCCGACATCCGACCGCAGGACACTTTAGTGACGATGGTTATTCGTTGGGCTCTGGCTCGAGCTTGGCCGCGCCTCATGTGTCTGGAGCCATCGCCTTGTACTTGTCTGCCCACAAAGGCGCCTCGTACGACCAAGTGTACAGGGCCCTGACCGAGCATGTGGACACGGACACGTTAACTCCACCCAACAAGACCTGCGGTGACATTCCCAACACGCAGTATCCCAACAACCTCTTTGGTCACGGCCGCTTGAACATCTTCAAGGCCGTGGCTGCTAGCATCCCCGACCTGACTCTTCCCTCGCAATCCAAGTCCACCCAAGCCCTGAATCCGACCAATGACCTAAGCACCTGTGGCACCTTGGAAGACAACACGCACTATGTTGGCGGCGACTTGGCTTCGGTCAATCTGGCGACTGTTGAATCCTGCTGAGCTGAATGTAAAATGACACCGGGGTGCAAAGTGTTTGTGTGGTACAACCTCAACGGTGGCTTGTGCCGGCTCAAGGACACCCAAGGCCCAAAGGTGGCTGTGGACGGAGCCACGGCTGGCGTGCTACCAGCCCCAGCCTCGGGACGACGGCCGTAGTTTTTTTAGACCATCTATTAACATCGTCAACAAACTCACCGAAAATAATAGTTTGACATTAAACACGCTCAACTTGATATTTCACATATTTCGATAAATATCGAGATAATTTGTGTCGAAATGGCATGTCCGGATACTCTTTTGTTCGCAAATTTCTGCGACACTTATTCGGCCTGAAAAACGGAATAATTGACATGTTTGAATTGTCATGGACGTGCAACTTCCAATACAATTATTTCTAATACAGCTTCCAAGTATAGGCCACACTTAAAAATACCCCACAATATTAACCGTACAGTATGCGTATGTTGCTTGCTTACAGTAGTTAGCCGTAAGTGCACTGCACTTAGTGTAAGGACCGTCGAAACTTCCGGTCTCCTATCTGGCATTGGTGTGATAAACGCTTCGAACGTATATTTTGTTAAATACATGAAACACTAGCAATCGCGGGTCGTTTACTCGCAAACGAGTGCGGGAAATCACTGTCAATTTCAAAAATGAGGGCAAACTAAAGTTCAGGCCATAAAGCGGTCTAACTCAAAGTTAAATTCGATAACTTGACATGATCAAGAATGAACGCATGGGCAAATAAATCCAGTCATGGGCAATTCTACTGGCAATTGCAGGGGGGGTGCATTCCCGTTAACACGAATACAGACGCATGCGACACCACACGGCTTTCACAGACTTGCTCTCCTTTTGTTATACATGTCATATTTGCAACATCTGCCAAACGCGGACAAATCAATAACTTTTACTGTCACCATCTACAACCGCACAATTTGCTCTCCTTTCATCTGTCACCGCGACAGCGGTACTTTTCGCCAGACTCTGATCAAGTGTATTGAAGCCGCGCGACGGCGGCTGCATTCACAATCCCAGTGTCCGTACATTATCCGAATAGTTCTCATTCGATAAATCCCACGGGTGGAGTTGCTATCATCTTTCAGAAATACTGCGTTTCGATTGCATAAATATTACTCCAGAGTACTTAAAGTATATTTTATGGCCAACCACACATTTCAATGTCGTCATTCTTCAATTTGCCACCTCATACACACTGCTTACCAAGAAGACCCAAGTAGAGCTCGCTGAGACTCAGCAAGCCATTTTTGACTGAGTTCTTCTCGTCATTTGGCCACCTGTCAAAGCATGGTTGGATCAACGTGGACGAAACGCCCGTGTACTACGACTTGCCACCTCGCCGCACACTAGCACGGTTTGGTCGATCGTTACGTGTGAAGGAATGTCAAAAGCATTCGGACCGAATCACGGCCGTACACTCAATACGTGCGGATGGTATGTTATGAACAATTTGCGTTGACTGACGGCTCGTAGGTACCAAGATGCCTCTTCTACTCATCGTCAAAGGGCAACCCGGTGGTGACATTGAGACGGAAGAAATTCCGACATATCCTCCTGGCCCCTTCTACGCCGTGCAGAAGGCAGTATACATGAACCAGCGGGTATGAAACATGTACCTTCGTGAGGTGTGAGGTGTTGAAGCCGGAATTGGATTCTCCGTCCGTCTTGCTTGCCGACAACCTGAAATGTCATGTGTCAAAGAAGAGCTACAAGATCATGCGGCAGGAGATGTACTCTGGCGCTTTTCTTCAGCCGCTGCCTGCCAATACAACCAGTGTCCTGCAGCCTCTGGATGTTGGTGTCATGGGGCCATTCAAGTCGATGTGCCGGACCGAGTGGATCAAGGAAGGCAAAGTCGTGACTGCAGCAGAGAAGCGCCTTGCTATGATCAAGAGGGCTATCAAGGTGTGGAATGACATGAAGGAGGACACAATTCGCAAGTCTTTCGAAAAGGCACTGAATATTTTTGAGGTTTAGTGTAATATTTTTGAAGTTTAGTGTAATTTTCCTAAAAATGTTCAGTACTTTGGTGCAAATGTGTAATTTACTTCAGTAACATAAAAAAGTTCGCATTGCACTTGGCCCCATGCTAACTTTCACCCCTCACACTAATAGTGCTACAATAACATAAAAATGTTCGCATTGCACTTGGCCCCATGCTAACTTTCACCCCTCACACTAATAGTGCTACAATTGCATAGTTCAGCATTTCGCCGTCTTACATTCCGAAGAACGGAGGTATCCTCAGTCTGACATAGTTTCAAAACTCAAGTACCAGTCATGTCAACTGGTCCCGAGTTCAATCCCACGCAGAGGCGTTTTATATTGGCAAAGACTCAACCAATCCGAGTGGTGGTGGTCATTGTTGAAGTGGTGAGATTTATTATATTTTCGTACCACACCTCCCACCACTCTATACAAACGTCCATATAATAAAGTGTACCACTGTGCGCCAGTCTCAATGCAGGGCTCTGTAACCATTCTCACGACTTGACTTTTTCCGTAGGCTTTTTGTCCATATGACTCCCTGGGTTTAGGGGAAAGTTTATTTCACATGGGATGGTTTTTATGAGCGGGTTAGGGGTGAGGTGTTTGGAAAAAGGTTGGTGAATTGAGTTTGGATAATCATTTTTAACCTATACTAGAACCACATGTTGTGGAACCGCTTCGCCAATTATACAAAATATACAGACACGACACAAAACCAACAATTTTTTGTCGCGTGATTGGATAACCGACATAAAGTCGTCCTTTCATTGGTCAGAGTGGTTTCGATTCCATCTATTGGTCGATAATATTGTCGTGGCAGCAACATATCATTAACATGTAACATGTACGCAATTCGATTGGTTAGATGCAAATAGATGACCTAAAACCGATCTTTGACAGTTTCTCACTTGCCAAATGGACACGATACCAACGAAGGAAGCGATCCAGGACGGATTCCACGGGACCTCGACCCGGCGTATGTACTCAACGTATCAGCGTCAATTCCTCAAATACTTCCAGCATGCAAACAGTGGAAAGGACCCATGCACCGCTACGATGGGAGACTGTACAGACTTCCTGCACCATCTGTATTCCTAGGACGGAAAGCCCGTACAATTGACGGTGCAAAGACAGCAATGGTGATGTTCTTCAAGGAACGGCTTGTCGAACCGAACCCCGCACAAGCAACAGAGACTAAGCGCTACGTTGTACGCCTGCAGAAATTCAACAGACAGAAACAATGTGGATGACGAGAAGAAGGCGCATCCGCTCTCGGGTCACGAGCTGTCGCTCCTCATGAACTCGTTCGGCGACCTGAATCCACTTGTCGGAGCTATGTTTCGCGTTTTGTTCTCCATGTGCTATCTGCGATGCTTTCGAATCAGCGAGGTCCTTGCTCTACGCTGGTCCGACTCAGTCGGAGCCTGGCGTCCATGTGTCAGTGCGTTTACGGTGGCACAAGAAGGCCAGCGTTGAACAGAACTGTCAAATCTTCAATCTTGTCGACGAGGTGATGTACCCATGCCTCGTGTATGCGGCTACTATGACGACTACCTTTTCATGGTGAAAGCAACGATGATGAATGTGGCTGACAATGCTGTGGTCTTTCCTCAAGTCACATATCAACACAATGGTACGATCAAGGTTACGTGGGACAAGGCCATGGAACAGAACTACTTGCGGCGCTGTCTGAATGTTGCCGTTGAACGATGTCCGCAGTTGTCGACCAACGTCTCCTTGCACAGCATGCGTCGAGGCGGGAGTTTCTACCGTGTCTTTGAGTCCCAAGACAAGCGATTCAATTTCCGCGAATTAATGGCATGGTGCCGTTGGGGTGACGCGAAGACTTGCTGTGAATACCTTGTGACGAAGAACCTCAGTGACGAGGTTGACCCACGAAACCTGCTTTTGAATTCCATGCGAGCTCGAACGACACTGGTGCCGGCCCACCCTCAGGTGCCATCGGCCGACGCAATTGCTGAAGCAGTGATGAAAATGCTCCAAGATCAGAAGCCTGCACAGCCCAGCAAGACAACATCGGCGACAAAGCAGACAACATTGGACGTTTTTGTCGTACCAAATACCATCTCATCAGCCCGGTCAGCGCACGAAGCGTGGTGTCAGTGCTTTTACGCCGATGTCCCGGGAGGCCGACCATGTGCTCTGAAGGATTTCACATAGGAGATGATCAAGGCGGACCGCAAGAAGTACTCGGAACGAGTGACACTCTCGCTTGCTTTCAAGAAGTTACAGACCTACGAGCTGTTTGAAAGCGCATATGCAGGGCACACGGAGACGTACAGTAGTGTTCTTAAGGAAGCTCGCCAGAGGAAGAGAGAAAATAAGTTGTAATGAATGAGCATTCTTTAAAGCCATTTTGCGAGCGAACGAGTGGAAATAGGATTCTACATAACATAAAGGGTTCGTTGCGGTTCAAGCTACGTTTTGGCTATGCTTGGTGTCAAAGAGTGCACAAGTTATTGTTTTATGATTTTGACCAATCAAATGATCGTCGGATGGAATTGTCGTATATCCAATTTTATCTATACACAAAACGCGTCTGCTCGACTAGGGGCGGTGTGTAATTATCAGATCAATCCAAGTAATACGTATCACGCTAAGAAAAATCAATCGACACACACACACAAGCAGAGTCGCTCAGTTCGGAGGTGGTAAATTGAGTTGTGTATCATTCATTACAATCCTCTTCATATCACAGCCAAGCCAAGGCACGCAGGTAGCCACTAGATTGTTGCCAAAATCTGATTGGCTAAAACATACAACACACGTGCGTATCACATGCTCTACACCACACGTTAATTGGTCAATTCTCATGATGGCTTGTTGCGGTGCGATTTCAAGACAATCAGACTCCATCCACCGACCCCGTACATACCGCCGAGGGTCGAGGAAGACAAACCAGGGTACCGCCGACAGGGCGAGGAAAACGAACGAGAATGTCGCCGAACGGGCGAGAGAGACAAACATGGCACTTGCTAACAAGGCCTTGCCTAACAAGATGGAGGACGACTCGACCCCCCGTGATCCCAATGATCAGGTCAAGGTTGCAAAAGTGAAGGCCGTTGAACCCTTCCTGAGGGTTGCAGTTCGACAAATAAAAGACCCGCAGTCGACACCACAATCATCTGCAAAACTTCCTTGCACTCAGCATTGTCTGGATGGCTCATGTGGAGAGCTGGTGGGGCATTGGCAGTTAGCCGGGTCATGTTGTGTGTGGGAAGAACAGTCGACACCACAATCTTCTGCAAAACTTCCTTGGACTCAGCATTGTCTGGATGGCTCATGTGGAGAGCTGGTGGGGCATTGGCAGTTGGCCGGGTCGTGTTGCGTGTCGGAAGCTCGGTTGAAAACAACTGCGAAAGGACGATACAAGCACCTTACAACTATGCTTTCACAACAAAACTCGGGTGAGATTGATGATGTCACCGCATGCTCCGAAACCAGTGTTTTGGATTCAAGTAAGGGGGAATGTCGCGGTTCGATTTTAAGACAATCAGACTCCCTCGGCGATGGACCTTATCTACCGACACATGTCACACCGAGGGAGATGTGATTGGTGGAAACTCCGGTCAAACAGAAGGACATGGCAACCACTCTGTGTCCAAAACGATCCAGCACCCACAACCTTGTGAATCCAAGGACCGGTGCAAGACTTCATTAATCGTCAAAGACTACGTTGTGATGCCTATCTGCGGGAATCTCCTGGCTCGGTGAAATGACCACGCCAGTGTGACAGTACACAGTGAGCTGCTTAATGCTAAAACTGGTAGAACGATAGAACTCGGAAGACGGTTTGAGGACGACAGAAAGATAGAACGAATAGCGTCAGCTAGACGATAAACTAACTCGACTTTACATTTGACCTCCAACTCCACACCTGGATTTGGGATTCTACGCTTGCTCGCGCCGCACCTACCCATCGATCAGTTACGGAATAACCCCGTGACATTCTAAATCGTGAAAAAAAACGAGGTAAATCGATTTTGATTGGCTCATGCTACTGTATTTCTGAAATCTACTTGGAACTTCTCCTTTTGGGGAGTAAATATAGGAATTTTCTGCTTTTCGTGGACTTTGAAACTCAAATTAATATTCTTTGTATAGTTAAATTGCTTGCTCGATAAGCAAATGGAGTCAATTTAGAATTTAAAGTGTTTTCTGATCTGTACAGTCTGGAACAAAACAAAATTTTCAAGTCGACACTTTTGTTTTTGTCCATTACAGAAGCCGCTAGTATCATTCGACGCATATTAAAACATGATTATGATCTACACTTAGCGTTACTATGGATGAGCAATAGCTTTACAAAAAAATGATAAAATTTCTATTTTAGGTGGTGCAAAAAACTATAGTCGCACTTACAATATGTGCACTAATAGTCGGGGCCGAGTCGTTGATTGCGTCCTCCATCTTGTTAGGTACGGCCTTGTAACCAGGTGCCCTGTTTGTCTTTCTCGCCCCCTCGGCGGCATTCTCGTTTGTCTTCCTCGCCCCCTCGGCGGTATCATGGTTAGTCTTCCTCGCCCCTCGGCGGTATTCTGGTTTGTCTTCCTCGCCCCCTCGGCGGTATTATCGTGTAATCTTCTCGCCCCGTTAGCGACGTTGTCTTTGTCTTGGCCTTCTCCGACTTCCTCGGAGGCGCCTTCTCGTCTTCCAATCTTGGTCCTGAGTGGTTGCACACCCGCCTCAGGATCCTTCTCGGACGTTGCTGTTCTTTCATTGTTGATCCTCGTTCAACTCGCCCATCCCCGGCGAGTTGACTTGAGAACCGGAGGCAACCATAGCCTGGATGGCCTCCACAAATTGCGGGGTAGTTTACGAGGTTCGGCTTCGCTGTGGACAATTTCGGCTGAGATGCCCAGGCTTGCCACACGATAACACTCCATGCCGCTGGTGCCGGAACCACGTGTAGGTCGCCCGTAGGTCTGACGACGGAAATCTTGGTCCGACACTCCCGTTCGTTCGTCCTGATATACCGTGCACTCTGAGGAATGATGACCCTTGTTTCTACACACTCGGCAAAACCACGAAATTCGCATCCATTTTTCACGGGGGTGGCCCATCAGTGACAGCGCCCGTACACCACCGTACCAGACTTAGTCCCTTCATCCTTGTTTTGACGGATACGGGGTTGCACAGGCGTGTTTACACCCGGTTGTTCCGACTGAATCTGAGCCACGACGTCTTGGAGTGTAGAGAACCGATCATTTTGTAGTGTCTCTTGCTGGGCCACCATCGTGAACATTTCCTGGCGCATTTGTGACAATGTAGCATGTAGTTCTTGGATGTCAGCGGTCGGGGCTGTCGAGGCTCGTGGTGTCTCTCGGTTCGACCTCGCGGGAGTTGTCAGAGCCGTCGTATCGTCATTTACTGAACGCACTGTTGACCGCGAATCATCGAGTCGACGATCGAGATCTACATCGCGGTATTGTAAGTATTCAAGGCTGTCTTCGATCGACTCGGGGCCTGTTGTGGCCCCTCAGTGACAATTTGAGACTTGAGAGTCATCACATCCGTTGATCAGCATGACAACAGCTCGGTCGGATTGTAGTCCAGCATCGCGCGCTGCGTCGGCGATCCGCCAGGTATAATCACGCACAGTCTCAGTCCACTTGCGTCGAGCATTCTCGGTGATTTCGGACATCTTTCGACTCATTGTTTTCTGGTAGCTCGTCGAACCGGGAAAGGAAATGCTCGAGGGATCGTTTGGTCCACATTGTCTAGCTTCAGGGCGTACTTCCGTGCATCGGTCATTACCTGTCGAGCCAAAGATCGCCGAGCCGCGTCAGAGGTGGGTTGGGAAGGGTAAGAGTTTCCAGGCGGTCCCCCTCCCCCTCCATAGTCACCTCCTCCTCCCGTCCAGGAGGTGGTCCTCTGTGTCGTCCAGAAAAAATTCTCATTGCTACCTATCCCCCAGGGCCGTTGGATCATGGGGAGGTCCCCTCGAGGCCCTCCGCTGGGCCCTTGGCCTGGTTGACTGCCAGAATTTCCTTGATTTGCCGAGGGGTATCTAGGGGGCCCGTGCCCCGGTTTCGGCATATTGAGAGGCCCTCTCCCCGTTTGACCAAACATACTGTACTCTGGACGTGTCGCCGGAGGCGGAGCCACTGGAACGGGTGGGACGACCACCGGATAGAGATACAATGGTGGTTGCAATGACGCGGACTCCGTGACTGTCTCGGTTTGCAGCATGAAGTGAGGGCGTTCGAGGTAATCGAAGGCTCGGCGTGACCGAGCCAGGAGCCATGGTGGCTGACACGTACGTGGATGAGGCACCCTTCGTGGGAGATCCCTTCCGAGAGGCTGAAGGGGTACCGTAGGGAGTCGGTATCGGACTTGGTCGAATGCGCTCTGCGATTTTAGGGTAGCGTTGCGCTTCTCAATCTCGATGTTTGTTTGCTGAAGTCCAAGTTGGGCGTAGCCTTGGGCTAACATGGCTTCATGATTTTCCCGATCACTGCGCAATTGTTCCTCAGCATCCTCGAGGAGCCGTCTTGATTCGGCAGCTCTTCAGTGATACGCGCCAAGACTTCTTCGTTTTCTGCACGCTCAAAATTTTACTGTCCTCGCTCGGCCTCGACTCGAGTACGTTCCAGGAGTACTTCTTCGGCTCCTTTCGATTCTCGTTCCGTGATGATGGCACATCCTCTGCTGACCGCTCAAGGTCGAGTCGGCTCTCTCGTTGTTCCTGCAGGGCCAGTTGGAATTGAGCTCTCTCATGGTCCAGCTGTTCAACGGCTTCTCGAGTGCACTGTTCGCTGACGCGGAGAGAGTTGCTTGCCTCGGCAAGAGAGGCTTCAAGTCCCTCGGTTCGGTTGGCCTCGTTACTAACAGTAGTTTCGATAGCTCTAATCCTTCTTTGGAGAATTTGGAATTCCTCTTGGAGGAGAGGTCAATTTACACATTCGGACCGAACAAGTCCAACTGCTTGAATCTCGTGTAAGTCCGTATTCGGTCGCTCCAGTTCAGGTGATTTCGTACGGTCTCGCATAGCAAACTCGGGGTATTCACCGGGAATTCGGAGCGATTAGCGCACCGCCTTCGTAGTTGGGTCTTACACCAAAGTGTTACGGGGTTATTCCGTAACTGATCGATGGGTAGGTGCGGCGCGAGCAAGCGTAGAATCCCAAATCCAGGTGTGGAGTTGGAGGCCAATTGTAAAGGCGAGTTAGTTTATCGTCTAGCTGACGCTATTCGTTCTATCTTTCTATCGTCTTCAACGTCCTCAAACCGTCTTCCACGTTCTATTTTTCTAACAGTTTTAGCTTACACTATGTGTACTGTTACGCTGGCGTGGCCATTTCACCGAGCCAGGAGATTCCCGCAGATAGGCGGTACAAGGTAGTCTGTGGCGAGTAATGAAGTCTTGCACCGGTCCTTGGATTCACAAGGTTGTGGGTGCTGGATCGTTTTGGACACAGAGTGGTTGCCACGGTTGACTCGTCCTTCGGTTTTATCGGAGTTTCCACCAATCATATCTACCTCGGTGTAACATGGTCGGTTGATAAAGGCCTTCACCGAGAGAGTCTGATTGGCTCAAAATCACACCGCGACATTTCGTCCAGAGCAGTCGGAAAACTCAGTTTTCGGAAAACAAAATAACTAAGACGCAACTATTCTATTCGGCCAAATATTGTTGTTGTGGCATGTGATCGAAGGAATACGAAATTCTCTATCATCATGATATCTCACCGATTGGAATTCACTAACCTTCATTATTGCGTCCCATGTAGTCAGATAACACTTCTTTCAATATGCAAACACAAAAGCAATGACACAACTATTCTATTGGTTATATATTGGTGTATAATTAGACTGCCGTGGCATCACAGTTCTGGCATGGCGTCATTCGAGAATTGTGTTGGAGGATGCAAGGTACGTTCATGTTATGCAAGTTCTGCTCGGCCTTCATGTCCTTGTTCTGCTTGGTGTTCATGTCGTGAAGAATTGGTCCAGAAATAGATATTAAACCTAGCGGTATTTTACCGTAAAATCACATCCAGAGTGTTGTGTGCGCGTGGACTCATGGAACATGGGCGCTTGGATATTTAGTCATAGGGGTGGCCGCTGAGATGTATCTTGAATTTTATATGCAACTCTTATCCGTATATAATATTTGGAGGCAGTTTGGACCTTTAACCTCCCACTGCAGTGATAAAACGCATGAAATCGGTATTTAGCGTATCTGGATTTTGGGTTCAACTACATTAAATGTTCGTTAAATAATAAAACCTCTATTGTTCGATTTGGCCAGTTGGAAGTTTTTACATGATGTGCACCACACAACTATTCCCCCGACTTCGGTCGAAATAGCCAAGATGGAAGTTGCGTAGTGAAGTCCATGTGAAACGATAAGTAATTTTCTCCTTTGACGTACCTGCGAAAAATCGTTTTCATGTAGCGAGGTTTTCCATTATATCATGGGATGTTTGTGTCATACTCTGCGTCCGTGGTATCCTGGTCGGATAAACATGTGATAGCCTTGCAAGCCCAGGGAGGAGCATAAGGATTACCGTCTGGGGGGTGAAGTAGATCCTATTTTAGGATGTGTATCAAAGTACCACTAATAACATGCAGATGGCAGCATGCTGTTAGTCGGGAATTGAAATCAAATGACAAAGGTCTATTCTGGCACTGATTTCGTTTGATTTGGCAAGAACCAATTAATAGCTAAGGCGACGGCCAAGCCAGCGAATGGAAACGTGAATGTGATGGAAGCTACCCCGATGAAGCCGAATGGCACGGGCGAATCAGGTGCGACTATGGAACTCAACAAAGTTTCGACGAAAGGAAAGGCCAACAAAAAGGCGCCACCCATAGCGAAGTGAGTAACGGCGTCGACAAATTCGGGAAGGCGAAGTTAAATGCAACGCCCAAGATCACCAGGACAGTGTGGCAGTTACCGAACACTACTGCAGATGGTGAGCAATCTCAGCCCGATGCGTGGAGCGAAGCCCGCCCCGAGTTGTTGCAACGCATTCAATTGGCCTATCCAAGCGATTCGGAGGAAGGAACAAAGGATAACCCCGACGTGGCCAACCGACTTCTACTGTCCTACATTAGGCAGTATGGGATTGGCGGAGTTGCGGAGTATGCAGACCGCATCGCAGCACCATTGCAACTGGCAGTGGATCAAGAGCTGCATCAACCATCCAAGCGTCCGGCCCCGAGTTTGATGCCAGCACGAACGTCGCCAGGCGTACGAAAAGTGCGTTGAGCATCAGGACGCATCGGAGCCAAAACAGTGCGTCGTGAAAGCAAAGTTGGCCGCCTCTGCTGCGAAGAAGGAGTACCGGCAAACCAAGCGTGCAAAGATATCTCCAGTGCGTCAAGCTGATGAACAACCGCAGGTGGAAGACTTCCTGATGGAGTTTGTACCCACTCAGCATCCGATCATACCAGAAGGACCCGCGTTACGCGATGTAGAGATGGCGGGTTTGGACGTTCAGCTCAACCCGCGTCCATTACAGCGATTGGATGATCTGGAGGCACTACAAGATGAAAATGATTTCGTTGAGGGAGTGCTCGACTTCATCTGACGCTCGAGCCGTATCCTTTTCAACCACTGGAATTCCCTACGGTGATTCATGGTGAGGTTCAATTCAACGAGGTGGCCCTCCAGGATGGCGAAGATCCACCGTTCCTTCCTCAAGACCCCGTCCCAGATGCGATTGAAGTGCGGCTTCCACGCCGAAACCCTGTGAATTACGTCGGACGGCAATCGAACGAAGTGTTTGCAACGCGTTCCTCCGTTTGGGAGTGTGCTGGTGCGTTGTTGAGAACAATCACGACCCTCTTGCCCTCAAAGTTGTCGATCCACGCGGCACTTGTCTTCACTGCTTGATAGACTGCTTCAACAAAGGCAGCGTTCTGGGCCATCTTGATGTTTCCCCGCTCCAGACGGAAATAAACCAGTCCTTCCTCCACATTGAATGACAAGATGTTGATCCTGAGCAGGTGACGACTGATTGTCTGCAGTGATAGTTCGGTTCCTGGGAAGTCGTTGGCTATTAAATGTTTCATGGTGTACTGGCAGTTCTGATCAACGTATCGCTCCAGCGCTTCGCGGATCTCCGTGGTGACTTTCGTTCGTCCCAGACGCGTCCCCCCACCCGGCAGGTGGTTCACATGGCCTTTGGAGAGTACGCGGCGCACAGTTGTCAAAGCAACGCCATTGTGCTTGACAACCAGCTTCCAGTCTTGACCTTGCTCATAAGCCACGAGGATTCGCGTCTTTTCTTCCGCTGTGGGACCTTTGTGCTTGATGCGAGCACCCATGGTCTGTGGCAAAATGACAAATTACGTGGATGTACTGTGAACTCATTGGGTTTCGCGCTCCATTTCTCGCGCTATTTCCGACCACATTGATTGGAAGAAAAACCACATTGATCTGAATTTTTGCACGTTGTAATACTTGCCAAAAATTATATTTGTTATCGAAACCACGTTGATCCGAATAAAGTGGCACTTTGATCGGGAAAAGCTGTAGATATTTAACCTAGCGTGTTTTACATGGGCGCTTGGATATTTGGCCATAGGGATGGCCGCTGTATCTTGATTTTTGTATGTGTTTCTTATCCGTATATAATATCCGGAGGCAGTTGGGGCCTTTAACCTCCCACAGCAGGGATAAAACGCATGAAATTGGTATTTAGCGTTTCTGGATTTTGGGTTCAACTACATTAAATGTACGTTAAATAATAAAGCCTCCACTGTTCGATTTGGCCAGTTGGAAGTTTTTAGATGATGCACCCTTCTTGATGATGGATGATGTGATGATTTACAGACGAGGACGAAATTTAGAATTTAAGCTCATGTGCTTCGAATTTTTACGAAATTGATATATGATTGGACAAGATTTTTCGAAATTCAGTTCAATTTTGACGAGAATTAGTGTTAAGGCCAATCAGATCAGCTTATATTGTCCATCTGTTTTTGATTGGACAAAGGCCGCTTCCATATGATTGAAACTTCGATGCTTCTTAAATTCCGTCGCTCTGTACGAACTCTGGTCCGAAATAGCTGTCTAGTTAATTTTCACTTGGATTTACAACTGTACACTACTGTACTATACCTTATGTTTACACTGTGTATACGGGTAAACAAATACTAGCACTACAGTAGAACTACAGCAGTACTATACCTGATGTTTGCGACAATACTGTGTGTACAGCTGTACAAGCTTCGCTTCTGTCAAGAGGAGGGAAAAGTGGTGGATGCCATGTACTGGTAGAAAAGGGATCGAGGAAGGTAACCTCGGGGCCTAACCAGGGACGCTAGGCCAAACGTCCCGGCCATAATGAACACAAAGAGGAAGACGTGGGCTCACAAAGAAGGAACAAGCAGTGAGCAGCTAGACCAAGAACAGGCTTATGTATGCCTGTGATTGGTGGAGAAACCACTGGTTCCAGAGGCAGGAGGGCCACAGGACGGGAGAAACAGGTCCCAGAGGGCTAGTGAGTTGCCGAATAATTCCCTCATTAAAACAGTTACACTGTTATTTTGACCCGAAATACTGTTTCAATTTTCTAAAGCGATCTATTAGAGCATCCCCACTCGTGGCGCTAAAACTCCAAAACTGTATTTTTTCAGTCAGATTTTAGCGTTTTAATTCTCCCACCGCGGGACTCTAAATTCTAGCGTCGACGCTATCCGGCACGCTAAAGTCAGATTATTCGTCAGATTGACCGATTGGTTAGAGTTCTGGCCAGCATACAATCAGCAATACATTTTCATGTGCATACAATTCCCAATACGTTTAGTATTACCTGGTTGCAATGGCATGACGCCATGTCGGCCAAGTACAGGTGGGTGTCCTCGCGGCCCCACATACAGTGCTTTGCGGTAAAATCGGGACAGTGCCACTGTCCCGAAATACAAAAAATCACATTTGTGGCGAAGTAGAATAAACACGCTGGATTGGACAAAATTTGATTCAATTGCGCGGGCCAATCACAGAGTAGCTTGATTGTAATTGGCTAGTTTCAAATATTTGAATGAAACGCGTTTCATCACGTTTGACTTCAAAGTCAAAGCCGCACCAACATGTACCAGAGGTACAACAATGGGCAACGGAAGGCCCTCCTGGTCAAGTTCCACGCGTCGAATGTCACCAGCGAGCGCCAATTCTGCCGCGAGAACAACATCAAGCCATCAACTTGGGGAGCGTGGCGGGCGAGAGAGGACAAGATCATGACGAGCAAGCGCCACAGCCGGCTCGCAACCATCGGTGACCAAGGCCACAAGCAACTCATTCCCTTCGGACCCGCCCTTCTCGAGTTCATGCGTTCACGCCGGAACGACGAGCGCTATGTGCGCGTCTTCCACATGATGACATGGGTCAAGAAGAACCATCATGCGTGGCTGGTGGAGTACCTGTCGACCAAGAAGAACGAGAGTGTCGGGTTCCAGTCCTTCCGGTGCTTGCTCCTTCGCTTCGCTGAACGCCATCGCTTTCACCACCGAACGCCATGCGCCAGCAAGCTGACGCAGAAAGTTCTCGATGATGTGTGGCTGGGTTATGCCGCGTCGTTCTGGGACAGATATGGCCACTACGACCACAGCAACATCATCAATGTTGACGAGACCGCCGTGTACTATGACATGCCACCTGGCAAGACGCTGGCCGAGGTGGGCACATCGAGCAAGGTTTCCACCGGCGAGAAACACTCACCACGGCTGACCGCGGTCCTGACCATCCGAGCGGACGGTGCACCTTTGCGCGAGACACTCGTATTCTGAACGAATGATTAGGAACCAAGTTGCCTCTGTTGTTCATCGTCAAGGGCCAACTAGGTGGCACTATCGAGAAGCACGAGCTCGAGTCATACCCGGCTGGCCATCACTACGCAGTCCAGAAGTATGCGTTTTAGCAAGTCGTAAAATCAATTTTCGGACTTTAAACTTCGGATGTGTAATAATGTGTGTAATACTTCGAAGTTCGGTTAAGCCGTAAATTTAACGGTATGAGCTGGGAAATCAATTTCCCAACCGACTTTAAGCGACCAAGTCGAAAAGAGCCCGTGGGTTGGAGTTCAATCAACGATGGGGCTAAAGTACAATAAACAAATATTGTGGACCGACGAGATGGATGAGAGACATCTCAAGGAGGTTGTCCGGCTTGGCCCGAACGGTGTTGGTCACGGAAAGGCCAATGCAACGTGGGCAAATAGCACCTGTGCCCACGGTGCAGTGGCCATTCTGGACGCACCTGCCAGACAAGATGCGACCCCATTCTCTACGAGTCGTTATACTTGATTGCATATTGGATATGGGTATGCGGTCGTGCTGCATCAGTAGAGTTCAAAGTTTAAATCCGAGTGAGGTTTGCGCAGCATCGGTAGAACAGTACAGTAGCACAGCAACTGGCACAGGGTGGAAAATGTCATTGGTTTCTATCCGTTCAATTTCCGGATATTCAAGTACAACTTTCTAAGTGCGCGTGTCCATGTGCTCGAAGACAAGTTGGGAATTTGAATCAAAATAACGACTTGCTAAACACCTCTGAGGGAATTATTACATCCGGATACACCTTTTCGCCAGAAGACGTGTTACCTGGGACTCCGTCCTACCCCCGGTGAGTACATATGATGCTAAATCGCCGGGGTTAACTGCATCGCTAGTGGTTAGCTATCGCTAAGCACGGAGATACGCTTAACCCCTAGTAGGAGGTGAGGTGGTCAGAGTACAAGAGGAGATACGCTTAACCCCTAGTAGGAGGTGAGGTGGTCAGAGTACAATTTAACTAGAGTTTATTAATTTGAACGGTTTTCAGTCTTGGCTAAACGGTATTCTTATCCCTGGGGATTTAGCATCATACTTCGAAGTATGTGCACACGGGGGTAGGACGAAGTCTCGGGGTTACAGGGTTACGGGAAGAAAATTTGCTTGAGCGGTTTTCAGTCTTGGCTGAACGGTATCCAGATTTCTTGAACGTTTTCCCATAGTTTCCAACATTCTGTTCCTACACATTGAACTTCAAGGGCTGCTCATAAGTCATATGGTAAATTTGGTATATCATCGCACATTCACGGCAATTTCGTCAAAATCTTGTTGCGTCTTACTATTATTAATACTTCCTCTGTTTCACATTACTGTGTCGTTACGACTTCTCACCGACCCCAAAAATTCATTTCTAAACCATTTTCGATATAGAATATCATTTTTTAAAGCCCATAAAAAACTACAGGTGCGATGTATTGGCTGCCAAGCGCCAGGAGAGAAATTCGTGGCCAAAAATCGCCCCGAAATCTCAACCACCCGAATAAAATTACACCACATACTCAAACCGTATCAAATTTGAATTTGACGCCATGGACAATCAAGTCGTACGCACGCGCCGAGAGCTATCTAGCGATGAAAAGTGACGGTCATCCAGCACCTCCACCCCTTCCTACGCAAGGTCAAACTGCAGCGTGGTGCATACAAGCATGTCGCTGAGCAACTGAGCTTGGACCCCCGCACCGTCGGCTACATCTGGCGTACGTTCCGCGATCGCGGCACCACGGCGACCAAAAAAAGGGGAAAGGTTGGACCCAAACGAGCCTACACCGCCGAGTACTGTATGTCCAACAACTCGTGCAAGCGGTCCCAGTGGATCAACGCTCCACCTTCCGCGACCTTGCCGCAGCCACCGGTCTGTCCCCTGCCACTTTGAACCGTCACCTGAAGAAGGGAACGTTCGAACGACGGATAAAACCGCTACTAACGGACGCCAACAAGGAGGAACGCGTTGCATTTTGTCGAATTCGACAAGCTATGGGACGTGGTTCAAATGGATGAGAAATGGTTCAACGCTGACAAAGACCCGCAAGGTGTACCTTGTCCCTGGTGAAGCGTCGCCACGGCGCTCGTGGAAGAGCAAGCGCTTCATTCCCAAGGTCATGTTACTTGGCACTGTTGCTCGGCCACGGATTGACGGCGACCGGAGTGTTGTTATCAACGGCAAGATTGGAATGTGGCCATTCGTCCGCCTTGTCCCTGCGTTGCGCAACTCACGTAATCGTCCAGCTGGGACTATGGTCACCAAGTTGGTGAATGTTGACGCCGCTGTGTACCGTGACTTCGTCATCAACAAGGTCGTACCTGCCATCAAGGCCTCATTCCCCAGCGCCACCAAGCGCGTGTTTTTGCAGCACGACAAATCGACTCCGCACGGGAGCATCACGGACGCAGTGCTCGAGAGCGTGTCGACTGACGGGTGGACGTTCAACATGCGTAAACAACCCCCCAACAGCCCCGACCTGAATGTCCTGGGCCTGGGTTTCTTCGCGTCGATCCAAAGCCTGCAGTACAAGAAGATGAGTCGGACGGTGGATGACGTCGTCCGCAACACCATGGAGGCATTCGACGAGCTCACGTACGACAACTGGAGAGCTTGTTTGTCACCTTTCCAGGCAGTGATGCGTTTGGTCCTCAAGCACAGCGGAGACAACCACTTCGCCTTGCCACACCTCACGAAGGCAGCCTTGAGACGTGCTGGTCTCCTGATGTCGAATGTGTCCTGCCCTGTCTCGCTGCTTTTGTAGGCTACGAAGTTTTGACCAATAGGATCATTATTTTCCTACATGATCCAATAATATTCATTTGTTCACAGTAATGTGAAAAAAGTGAGTTTTCCATATCGTAAAAGTAATGTGAAACAGAGGAAGTAATAGTTACGTTATTTATTCCAGTAGTAATTGTGCACGATTTTGAGCATTCCATAAGCTAGGATCGGCGGAGGGGAGGTTCTCCAAATGAAAGATACTCTCATTTGCAGTAGAGCCAACCATACTGGAGTAAATTCGAAGGCTTAAGCCAATGACATTGTAAATATTTCGATTTACTGGACTTCTATTGGCCCCTGAAAATGAGAGAATCTCTCATTTGCAGATTGGGGAATAAGAATACTGATTCTGAGAATTTTATTAGGCCTAGCTGAAGCTAGAGATGAGAAAATCTCTCATTTGCAGAATTGCACACTTTAAGCAACATCATGCTTACCTCTACTTGACCTAAGCTTTTGCTCCAGGTTAACGAGGCCAGGTTTGTAGCACACAAAAACTGGTGTATCAACACATAACATCTGAAGTGCTGGCAATCCAGCCAGTCGGCAAAGGCGAACAGAACCATACGTATAACATTTACAAGGTAAATATGTTAGTTCAAATCCTCACATTGTTGGCAACGCTTGGGAATACTCCTTCAAAACATGTATACTCTTGAAAGCCAATAAATAAGCTTACTGTATTCACTGTCAGTGTCAATTTCAAGTACATTCATTCCAGCGTTCATTCATGGTCATCATCACAAGGCTGCTACGTTTGCCAACGCAACTCGTGCTGGACTTGCAGTGCGTTGACACTGGTATTTCACATTGATGGAATTTGTTTAGTCACTCGTCTCGGTGTTTAAGCCGACGCATTGGTTGGTGGAAGCGCCTGTGGGTGTTGGTGGTCTGATGGTCTGTGGTTCTGTGGTGTTGTGCATTCCTGCAATCGTTGATTTCCAACCTCCTGGTATTCCATCCTTCCACATAGCGAGCACCCATCGGGCAAGCTGCTCCTCTTCGGCAGGAGGCAGCGTCCTTCCAGTCCCACGTGTCCGAGCACCTTTATGATGCGCCGTTGGTGCTGTTGTTGCTATCTCCTGGATATGATCCTTCTGTTTAATCCATCCATACACTTTCTTTCTTGTCGTGTCGCGTTGAGTGGGGGTGGCGTTGGCACAGTAGCCGTCGAGAAATGCGGACATCCCAACCTCGGCGACGCGGTGAATGACATTCAATCGGTATTAGTAGTCGACTGTCTCGTTCTTGACGAGGCGCACGTGAGCTTTCTTGCCGTATTTGAATGGCGGCCGTCCTTTGCGACGACTCGGCACCACATCGTGGACATCAGCCATGATTGTCGATTGACGTGTCAAAAAGCGGTGCACATGCTTTGGCGGTAAAATAAACTCCGAAAAATAATTTTTATCAGGCGATGGAGGTAATATGTATTGTAAGAGGTAATGTGTGGGGGGAGGAACTGGAGAACTTCGATATTCAATAATGTCTTGGGGTGTGTAAAACTAAAAGTATGTCTAAAACTATAAAAGCTACACGGTATGAGAAATGGAGAGTTTCGTGACCCATTGTGCAGTATGCATTGAGAAATCGCTGACATACATCCCGCCTTTCCTGCATGTACCCCTGCACTATCTGCAGGATGTATAAATAAATCGTTTAGCAAAACGTGAATAATTATGGGGATGAATAAAAATACGCATGCTTAATACAAAAATCAACATAACGATGTTCAAACAAATGATAATATGTAACTGTGGCGATGATGCACACGCCGTTGTTTCCGTGGAAGTATCATATTCAGTTCCTGGTTGACTCGCACGCGACAGCTTGAATAAAGATGCATGTATCCCCTCGACAATGGCACACCATGATTTGAAGGAATCAAGGACCCTTGATTCTTCATAGTGATGTGTTTGTGTCCTGTTCCCGCATCTCCTTGGAGTAGTATTCTGTTTTTCAGGATATTTTCGGCCGAATAAGCATGGCAGAAACGTGAGGGGTATCAAACAACGAAGGGAAACTTTATAAAATA